CTCTCTCTCTCTCTCTCTCTCTCTCTCTCTCTCTGTGTGTGTGTGTGTGTGTCCATGTCTCTGTCTGCCTGTCTATCTATCTACCTGTGTCTCTGTCTCTCTGTCTCTGTCTCTCTGTCTCTCTCTGCCCTCCTCTGTGTGTGTGTCCCCTGTCTGTCTGCCTGTCTGTCTCTGTGTCCCTCTGCCCCCTTCCTCCTCTGTGTATGTCCCCCCGTTTCTCTCTGTCTGTCTACTTGTCTCTCTCTCTCTGTCTCTGTCTCTCTCTGTCTCTGTCTCTCTCTGTCTCTGTCTCTCTCTGCCCTCCTCTGTGTATGTCCCCGTTTCTCTCTGTCTGTCTACTTGTCTCTCTGTCTCTGTCTCTCTCTGTCTCTGTCTCTGTCTCTGTCTCTCTCTCTCTCTGTCTCTCTCTCCCTGTCACCCAGGCCCCCTCCCTCGTCTGGCTGTCACCTCCCTGCAGACTCCCGCCCACACTGGCCCCCAGCCCCCTCACCAGTTCAGGCAATTTTTCAATTGTCCATTCTCACTGGACAGAGAAGGAGGAAGGAGGGCCCCCCCCCAAAAAAAAAAAAAGCTGACAGACAACAGCAGGCCCAGGACAGTCCTCTGCCCAGGGGCCGACTGCCCTGGGATCCCACCCCGGGTGGCCAGCCCGGCGGGGCTGGAGAAGCCTGAGCCGTGGCCCGTCTCCCAGGCTCACGCACCGGGCGTCCAGTCTTGGGCTCACTCCCTGTTCTGCCCACAAATCTAGGCCAAGGCCACCCTGGAAGAGGCCGGCACAGCTAAGAACTCTCAAGACCCAAGTCCAAGCAGACACCGGGAGCCAGCTGCCTCCCCTCCCCGGGCCCCCCTGGTTCATGGCCACCCTGGGCTGGAGGGGTGGGTGGCCTGGCAGCCGCGGGCGCGGCAGTGCCGGGTCGGGTAGGGGCGGGCGCAGCCGCCCTAATTACTCCCGCTCTCCAGGCTCCGATCCGTTCTCAAAAGGACTCCAGGGACACTGCCTTTAATAACCACCACTAAACAGGCAAGAAAATCCATGCCTGGTAAACAGAGCCCCGGGGAGCAGATGCGGGCTGGACAGCTCCCAGAATCCTTTGCAGCAGAGTAGCCAAGGCAATCTCCTCCAGCCCGCTCTCTCTCCCCCACGGCCCTAGGTCCACCTCCCCTCCTCCCTGCCAGGCCTGGCCCCTCCCCTCCCGCTCGGCTCCACAGGCCTGGGTTTCGGCGGCCCATGTCTTTCTTCGGGGCAGGTTTTTGGGAACACGGTGGCGCTGATCTGGCCTTCGTCACCCCAGAAGTTATCAACCAGTTCAGGAGACACAGGCAGAAATGGTTCAAGGACAGGACAACAGCCGCACGCGCCAGCTTCAGCAATAGAATTAAGGCCTTGCTGGAGGGGCCGGGCACACGCGAAGGGCTCAGTGGGATGGTTAGGAGTTCACCAGGCGGGGAGGCTGGAAGTGGGTCAAGTGTGTGATGATGGCAGCCGTCACAGGCAACACTCAACGATCGCTTCTCTATGCTAAGTCACGTGCTAAGCACCTGTCACGCCTTCTTTTATTTCGAACCCAGAAGTTCTCGGGGTGGGTATTGCTACCTCCATTTTACATAGAAGAACGCTGAGGCTGTGTGAGGGGCCAGCGTTCCTCTCCAGTCCACTGGCGGCTTCTGCCCCCCAACTTTTCTCACACATTCTGCCCCTAGGCCCCCTTTTGGCTCAGGACCCGGGCAACAGATGGGGTTCAAGGAGGGCGATTCCCTTTTTCCTCCTGTCCCATCCAAAGAACACAGCCCGTCACTTCATCGAAAGGTGACCACGGCACGTAAGGTTCCTCTCTCTCACAGCTCCTGGTTCTGCAGATGGCAACTGTGAGACACAGAGATGAGTCTCGCACTCAGAAGCAAGGGGGCAGGCTGGAAGGCTTGCTCCCAGCACCAAGAAAACCACAGAAAATCGATATGAATTCCATTAAAACAAACAAGCATCCGGCCCTGGGGAGTCTTCCAGTGGTTGGCTGGGATATTATTGCTGCCCAGGGGCCTTATTTCTTGGCATCCTCCATCCTGCACCTCTCCTATCCACAGATGCAGCTCTGTGCCTCAGTTTCCCCAGCTCTCAGGGTCTGTGCTGTTGTCAGGGGCAGCCTTGGACATTCTGAAAGGCAAGGCAGAGGATGAGGGGTTTTTTGTTGCTGTTTGTTTTTTGTTTTTTCGAGACAGGGCTCCTCTCTGTAGCTTTGGCCCCTTTCCTGGAACTCAAACTGTAGCCCAGGCTGGCCTTGAACTCATAGAGATCCTCCTGCCTCTGCCTCCCAAGTGCTGGGAATAAAGGTGTGTGCCGCCACTGCCCGGCCGAGGACGAGGTTTTTGAGACCTGAGTGGCAGTACAGTGACAGGGTCAGACAGGGTCTGTGGTCTGAAGGGGGACCTCCCAGCAGGGCGCCATGCTGGGTGCCCCCGTCTGGTTGCAGAAATATCTCATGTTGTGAGGACCCCCTGTGTGAGTCACCGTGCCCGTTGTGGGGGTGGGGGAGCCGGAGGGTTAAGCAGAGGGGCCCCCTGTGAGCCTGAGCTGATGGGTGGGCCATGGGGTGGAGGCAGAGGAAAGAGCCTGTTATGGCCAGAATGAGCAGGTCCCGGGAAGTGGGGCAGAACAAGGCAGCGATAGAATAGCTTATTGGGAAGCCAAGTTTGGTTGGGGGGGGGGGTGCTTCTGAACCGGTGACATCCAAACAGACCCCGGTTAAAGAAGGATGGCCAAGTCATAATCCGGGCAGAGGAAACAGCCAGTGCAAAGGCCCTGCGGCCTCTCAGGGCTTGAAGGGGCTAGGGAGCAGCGGGGAGACCAGGTGAGGAGGACATCGTCAGAGACGAGGACGTCAGAGCTGGGTCATCATGAGAATTTCAGCTTTTACGGTGGTCATTGGGAGCCATAGAGGACTCTGAGCTCTCTGAGAATGGATGCGGTGTGGGCTGGACAGGATGCCCTGGCTGCCCGGGTGGGGACAAGGGCATGCGTCTACTGCTGGGAACCAAGCACAGGAGGGGCAGTGTGGCTCACAGAGCAGGATGGAATCAGGCAACCGAGCGAGCGGTCAAAGAGCCTGCTTGACGCCTGTGGGGGAGGGGAGCCCTCAGGAGAAGGGGAGGAGCTAATGGCATCAAAGCCGAGGCAGCTCCGCCCACCTGGACCATTTCCCCCCCCCGCCCCCCCCATGAGAAACCAAGGCTGACAGAGGAAGTCGTCTGAACGCGGTTACAGAACGGGAGGGTCAGGCCGTGGGAACTTGAGATGGGGGGCTCTCTGCGCCGCATCCCCGGGGCCTCACGCAGACTCCGCGTTCAAGTGCTCCCGGCAGGCGCGGGCCACGGTGGACTAGGGAGCTCCCTGCCACTGTCAAGAGGAGGCCAGCAGGTTAATTCTTTGTCTCATTGCCTGACCAGACAAAATACCGGACCAGAACGAGGCTTACTTTGACTCCTAGTTCGGGCCTACAAGGCGGGAAGGCGAGGTTGCAGGAGCCTGGGGGCGGCTGGTCACGTGGTATCCACAGCCAGGAAGTAGAGAGAGACCATCAATGCCAGTTGCTCAGCTTCCCGTCTCCTTTTTATGCAGTCCAGGACCCCGGCCCACGGGGATGGTACCGCCCACATCCAAGATGGGTCTTCCCACCTCAACCAACCCAGTCTAGAAACTCCGTCCCAGACAAGCCCAGAGGTTTGGCTCCTAGGTCATGGATGCTAGGCCCTGCCAAAGAGTCAATGATCTGTATTCATTGTCATCAGGGCCTGGAGAGGCTTGCGGGGGGGGGTTTAAGAATAGCAGCTTTAGCAGATGTCTTGTC